CTAGGCAACCCTCCACTTGCCACCGTCAAAAGATGTAAAAGTTAAAAAGGATTCTACAAAATACAAAAAACAAACAAACAAAAAACCAAGTATACATAAAAATATCAGTGTTGGCATTAGTAGATATTTTGAGTTTTCTTCAATTATTTCAATGACATCTATAAACTTATTTACAAAAAATGTATCAGGGCTTGGAAGGTGGCTCAGTGGTAGAGTGCTTGCCTTGCAAGCATGAGGCCCGGGGTTCAATTCCTCAGCACCACATAGCAGAAAATGCGGGAAGTGGCCCTGTGGCTCAAGTGGTAGAGCACTAGCCTTGACCTGAAGAGCTGAGGGACAGAGCCCAGGCCCAGAGTTCAGGCCCCATGACTGACAATAAACAAATAAATAAATAATAATAAATATATTTATAGTATCATTTTTTAGGTCAAGTCTAGTAGAAGACAACAAATGAATTGAAATTAATTCATATATATATATATATATATATAAAATGAAGGAAAGGAAGGAAATGCAACAGGAGGGGAAGAGAGGAGAAAGTAGAATGGAGGGGAGGAGGAGGAGAAGAGAGAGGACAAGAGGACAAGTTAAGCTTTTAACAAATGAATTAATCATATCAAGCTTGGGCTTATTTTAAATTAATACAAGACAGGTCTTTGTCAGATAAATAAAAATAAGCTGAGAAAAACCAAATCAAATTACTCACCTAGCAAGTTGTGCTAGTTCTTTTTGGGTCAATGGACTTCCCTGTTTACATAACAGATTTTTAAGTAAAAGGAGTCTTGTCTGAAAAAAGAAATTAAATAATTATCTCTAGGTCTTATGTTAAGTTTATGATTATCTTAAACTATTAACTGATTACAAAGTGACTTTAACAGTTTTCTTTAGAACTGTTAGCAATATCATCTAGATGACTTGTTTCTGCTGTAAAGAAAATGCAAACAAGGAAGGCGCTGGTAGCTCATGCCTGTAATCCTAGCTATTCAGGAGGCTGAGATTTGAGGATTGCGGTTCAAAGCCAGCTCAGGCAGGAAAGTCCATGAGACTCTTATCTCCAATAAACCAGTAGCAAACCAATAGTGGTGCTGTAGCTCAAGCAGTAGAGCTCTCGCCTTGAGCTGAAGAGCACAGGGACAGCACCCAAGCCCAGAGTTCAAGCCCCAGGACCGACACACACACACACACACACACACACACACACACACACACACACACACACAAAAATCAAACATTTATACATACCTCCTCATTTGGTAAAGACACATATACTCGTTTGATGAAACGCCTAAAAAAAGATTCAAATATTTTAGAAATTTAATTTTGAATTTAAAATTAACTCAGCTCAAGTAACAAATGACAAGAAAAAAGCTTTAAGTATAAAATTCAAAGCAAAGGTATGCATCCTCACAGTTAAAACAGTATTTTAACTTATATTTAAAACTATTTACTAGGGGCTGGGAAGGTTGCTCAGTGGTAGAGTGCTTGCCTTGCATGCATGAGGCCCTGGGTTTGATTCCCCAGCACCACATAAGCAAAAAAAAAAAAGAAAAAAAGCTCGAAGTGGCGCTGTGGCTCAAATGGTAGAGCGCTAGCCTTGAGCTGAAGAGCTGAGGGACAGTGCCCAGGCCCAGAGTTCAAGCCCCACGACCGGACCCAAAAACAAAAAAACAAACAAATAAAACTATTTACTAATGTTTAAAAATCATTAATTCAAGAATGGGCCCTGATGGTTTACACCTATAACCCTTGCTACTCAGCAGGCTGAGATCTAATGATCACAGTTCAAAGACAGCTGAAGCAGACAAATCTGTAAGATTCTTATTTCCAATTAAACAGCAGAAAGTCAGAAGTGGAGGTGTGGCTCAAGTGGTACAGCAACAACCTTGAGCAAAAAAAGCCAAGTAAGAGAGCATGAGGTCAGGAGTTAAAGCTCCAGTACTGATACATTAAAAAACTAGAGGGCTGGAAAGGTGGATCAGTGGTAGAGCACTTGCCTAGCATGCATGAGGCCCTGGGTTCAATCCCTCAGCACCACATAAGCAAAAAGAAAAAAGCCGGAGGTGGTGCTGTGGGTCAAGTAGTAGAGCGCTAGCCTTGAGCTGAAAAGCTGAGGGACAGCGCCCAGGCTCAGAGTTCAGGCCCAACGACCGGACCCTAAATAAATAAGTGAACAAACAAACAAACTACAAGTGGTTGAAAGTGGTAGAGTGCTAGCCTTGAGCAAAAAAAATTAAGGGACAGTGCCCAGGCCCTGAGTTCAAGCCTTAGGACTGGCCAAAAAATAAAAATAAAAACAAAACATTCTACAAATTACTCTAGCAAAAACGAGGGGAAAACCCACAGTGAAACAAGTAGATATAATGAAGAACATATACCAGTTTCCCAAACAGTACACTTAAACTCTGACCAATTATCTTCCCAAAGAATAAAATGATCTTATGAAAGTGTTTTTCTATGAAGTAGTAACTCAATGAGATGTAAGAGCGTAAGAAAATGACACAAAATGCTCAAGAGACAATAGAAGATCAGAGAACAGGAAAACAATAACAAACAAGGTTTATAAAAGATGTAGCAGCAAGGATATTAACTACTACCCCAGTAAGAAAGAAAAACCTATAAGTTTAAAAAAGATCACATTTGAGCAGCTTAGGCAGGAGGATACTGAGTTCAGGCCAGCTTGGACTATGTTTCAAAAAACCAAAAACCCTTGGGCTGAGAATGTGGCTTAGTGGTAGAGTGCTTGCCTAGCATGCATGAAGCCCTGGGTTCAATTCCTCAGTACTACATAAACAGAAAAGGCCAGAGGTGGTGCTGTAGCTCAAGTAGTAGAGTGCTAGCCTTGAAGAAAAGAAGCCCAGGGACAGTGACCAGGTCCTGAGTTCAAGCCTCAGGACTGGAAAAAAAAAATATCAAATCTATAATGTAAAAAAAAGAAAAGTTTGGATTCAGATTTTTAAATTGGGGCTGGGAAGGTGCCTCAGTGGTAGAGCGCTTGCCTTGCATGTATGAGGCCCTGGGTTCGTTTCCTCAGTACCACATAAGCAAAAAGAAAAAAGGTGGAAGTGGCGCTGTGGCTCAAGTGGTAGAGCACTAGCCTTGAGCTGAAGAGCTGAGGGACAGCGCCCAGGCCCAGAGTTCAGGCCCCACGACCGTACCCCCCCAAAAAAACAAAAAACAGATTTTGAAATTGCAGCCTCCAGTGGAGTAATGTTATAAATTCCTTGTGCCTAACCTCAAAAAATATGAGATCAGAATGAGGAAAATAACTTAGACTTAAAAATGAATGTAAATGAAATAAGATGCAGATGATGAACATGAGTATATATATTTCGTCACGTGAATCGCCCTACCTGAGAACAGCCTCATCAAGCTCTTGTGGCCTATTAGTTGCACCCATTACAAGTACTCTGTCATCGCCAGCAGATTGTACCTACAAGGCAAAAAGGTTTTGTCAGTACTTTTAGACAAAGCAATGAAAAAGAAAAATAGATATATATTTTTAATTTGGTATTAGAAAAAAAAAAACAGGGCTGTAAAGGTGGCTTAGTGGTAGAGTGCTTGCCTAGCATGCACGAAGCCCTGCATTTGATTCCTCAGGAACACATAAGCAGAAAAAGCCAGAATTAGCGCTGTGGCTCAGGTGGTAGAATGCTAGTACTAGCCTTGAGCAAAAGACGTTCAGGGACAGTTCACAGGCTCTGAGTTCAAGCCCCAGAAGTGGCCAAAAGAAAAAGGAAAAGAAAAAAGAAAAAAAAACATATGCTAAAATACCACCACACCACATATTAAAAATATAATACTTACACCATCAAATTCTATTAGAAATTCTGTTTTCAGACGTCTACTAGCATCATGCTCTCCTTCTCTTCTTTCACACAAAAGACTATCAACTTCATCTAGAGGAAATACAAGGGCAAATAAATAAAAGACAATTTAGATAGGTCATCTATGATTAATCTAGTTGGATACTTAGGCTATTAATTTAGTGGGTCCTCCTGAATTTATAAGTTATGCTTTAAACTCTCCTTTTTTTTTCGGTCGATCATTGGACTTGAACTCAGCCTGAGCACTGTCCCTCAGCTCTTCAGCTCAAAGCTAGCACTCTACCACTTGAGCCACAGTACCACTTCTGGTTTTCTGGTGGTTTATTGGAAGATAAGAGTTTCACGGCTTTTCCTGCCTGGGCTGACTTTGAACCACGATGCTTGTATCTCAGCCTCCTGAGTAGCTAGGATTATAGGCGTGAGCCACTGGTGCCAGGCAAACTCTTCTTTAAAACTTTTTCCTTGGGCTGGGAAAGTGGCTCAGTGGTAGAGCGCTTGCCTTGCATGCCAGAGGCCCTGGGTTCGATTCCTCAGCACCACATACGCAAAAAGAAAAAATCCGGAAGTGGCGCTGTGGCTCAAGTGGTAGAGTGCTAGCCTTGAGCTGAAGAGCTGAGGGACAGCGCCCAGGCCCAGAGTTCAGGCCCCACGACCGGACCCAAAAAAAAAAACAAAAAACTTTTTCCTTAATGATTTTTTTCTATCATAGCTCTCATACTTAGAAAAGGATATTTTACCAATATATTTACAAATATATATATAAAGGATATTTCAACAAATATAGTTATAATGGGAGCTGAGAATGTGGCTTAGTGGTAGAGTGCTTGTCTCACATGCATGAAGCCCTGAGTTCAATTCCTCAGTACCACATAAATTGAAAAAGCCAGAACTGGCACTGTGGTTCAACTGGTAGGGTGCTAGCCTTGAAGAAACAGCTCAGGGATCATGCCCAGTCCTCAAGTTCAAGTCCCAGGACTGGCAAAAAAAAACAAACAAACATCCTCTTACCTATAAAAATTATAGAAGGTTGAAGTTCTCGAGCCACCGCAAAAAGAGCTCTCACCAATTTCTCTCCTTCTCCCATCTACATAAAGCATTATGTACTGTTATACACATACAATGCAACATTATCCCAGTTTTCAAAAGATTCATGATTTTGTGAATCAAACTTTAAATTTCATGATTTTTATTATAGATTCCAAGTTTAGAACCAAGCAATTAAATTTTTGTCATTGTATAAAGAAGTAGGGGTAATAGTGGTGGTATAATGGAACAGTAGTTTAGAAAACAGATTAGTTATAATTTTATACAGCCTGGTTATTTCTTTTAAAAAGGAAATATTGCTGGGCACTAGTGGCTCACACCTGTATTCCTACTCAGTAGGCTGAGATCTGAGGATTGTGGTTCAAAGTCAGCCAGGGAAGTAAAGTCCATGAGACTCTTATCACCTGTTAATCACTTAAAAGGCTGGAACTGGTTACAGAGTGGAGAGAGTGAGGAGGCTGCGTCTGGCTCCCACTCTCACAGCCATTGCAGTACATTGAGATCCACAGAGACAGCGCAGGGGCAAGTGAGAGCCGGACAGGCACCTAGCGACTCTGTGCCTCGCGGAGGAAAAACTAAACATGGACAAAGGAGATCCTAAGAAGCCGAAAGGCAAAATGTCATCATATGCATTCTTTGTGCAAACTTGCCCGGAGGAGCACAAGAAGAAGCACCCGGATGCTTCCATCAACTTCTCAGAGTTTTCTAAGAAGGGTTCAGAGAGGTGGAAGACTATGTCTGCTAAAGAGAAAGGGAAATTTGAAGATATGGCCAAGGCAGACAAGGCCAGTTATGAAAGAGAAATGAAAACCTACATCCCTCCTAAAGGGGAAACAACAAACTTCAAGGATCCCAATGCACCCAAGAGGCCTCCTTCAGCGTTCTTCTTGTTCTGTTCTGATTATCACCCTAAAATCAAAGGGGACATCCTGTCCTGTCTGTTGGTGATGTTGCAAAAAAACTGGGAGATGTGGAACAACACTGCTGCAGATGACAAGCAGCCTCATGAAAAGAAGGCTGCGAAGCTGAAGGAAAATTACGAAAAGGATATTGCTGCCTACCGAGCTAAAGAAAAGCCTGATGCAGCAAAAAAAAAAAAAAAAGGAGTTGTGAAGGCTGAAAAGAGCATGAAGAAGGAAGAGGAGGAAGATGAAGAGGACCAAGAAGAGGATGAGAATGAAGATGAAGAGGATGATGATGAATAAGTTGGTTCTAGCGCAGTTTTTTTTCTTGTCTATAAAGCATTTAAGCCCCCTGTACACAACTCACTCCTTTTAAAGAAAAAAATTGAAATGTAAGCTGTGTAGGACTTGTTTTTAAACTGTACAGTGTCTTTTTTTTTTTTGGGGGGGGTTGTCCGGTCGTGGGGCCTGAACTCTGAGCCTGGGCGCTGTCCCTCAGCTCTTCAGCTCAAGGCTAGTGATCTACCACTTGAGCCACAGCGCCACTTCCAGCTTTTTTCTTATGTGGTGCTGAGGAATTGAACCCAGGGCCTCAGGCATGCAAGCCAAGTGCTCTACCACTGAGCCACCTTCCCAGTCCTGTACAGTGTCTCTTTTTGTATAGTTAACACACTACCGAATGTGTCTTTAGATAGCCCTGTCCTGGTAGTATTTTCAATAGCCACTAACCTTGCCTTGTACAGTATGGGGTTGTAAATTGGCATGGAAATTTAAAGCAGGTTTTTGTTGGTGCATAGCACAAATTAGTTATATATGGGGACGGTAGTTTTTTCATCTTCAGTTGTCTGATGCAGCTTGTATTTGTTCTGTTAACTGAATACCACTCTGTAATTGCCAAAAAAAAAAAGTTGCAGCTGTTTTGTTGACATTCTGAATGCTTCTAAGTAAATACAATTATTTTATTTAAAAAAATAACAAAATAAGAGGCTGGAACTGGCACTGTGGCTCAAGTGGCAGAGTGCTAGCCTTGAGCAAAAGGAACAAAGGGACAGTGTCCACAGTTTAAGCACAAGACCAGCAAAAAACAAACAAATACGGAAATGCTAGGGCTGAAAGCATGACTCAAGCAGTAAACGCTTGCCTAGCAAGGCTGAAGTCCTGGGTTAAGTCCTTACAATTGCAAAAATAAAAGAAATCCTTAAAGACAGATAATAAGCTGGCCCCTGGTGATGGCTCATGTCTGTAACCTCCAACTACTCTGACATCTGAGGATTGTGATTAGAAGCCAACTTGGGTTTTTATCTCTTCTTAACTACCAAAAACCTGGAAGTGAAGCTATAGCTCAAGTGGTAGAGCATCATCACTGACCAAAAAGCTAATAGAGCACTTGAATTCAAGCCCCTGTATGGCACAAAAAAAAAAAAAAAAAACCTTTCAAAACTGAAAGTAGAAGTGTGGCTTAAGTGGTAAAGTACTAACCTTGAGCTCAAAAGTTAAAGGAAAGCACCTAAGCCTTGAGTTCAAGATCCAGTTCTAGCACCACACACACACACACACACACAAAAGAAATAAGGTTTTTGTAGAAGATCAAAGTAAGCTGAATTTATTGTTGACTCTAATGTAGTACAACTAGATTCTTAAAAAAAAAAAGTAGTAATTTGGAATCTTTAAATGGGCAAGGGAACTAAAGACAGACTTCCCAGAAGAAGAAAGAAAAATGGCAAAGACATACATGAGGAAATGTTCATCATCCTTGGCTATAAAGGAAATACAAATAATAACAACCCTGAGATACCACCTTACTATCCCAGTCAGAATGGCCCATATCCTAAAGTTAGCCAATGATAAATGGTGGCGGGATGCAGAGTAAGAGGAATCCTACTGCACTGTTAGTGGGAATGTACACTAACACAACTACTTTGGAAATCAGTCTGGAGGTACCTCAGAAAACTAATTATAAGCCTTCCCTGTAACTCAGCCATACCACTCCTAGGCATCTGCCCTGAGCAACAGGAACCAGGATACACCAAGGACATATGTTCATTGCTGCACTGTTCAAAATAGCCATGATATGGAAACAACCCAGATGTCCCACTACAGATGAATGGATCCAAAAATTGTGGTACCTATATACAATGGAATATTAGAAAGGACAAAATAATGGCATTTTCAGGGAAATGAATGGAAATAAAACAAATTATGCTGAGTGAGGTAAGCCAAGATAAGAGAGACAAATGGCACACAAACTCCCTGATATGTGGAGGTTAACTTCAAAATGCAAGGAGATATGACAAAGTAAACAGGACTCAAGAAACAAAAGACCGGGACTGGGAAGGTGGCTCAGTGGTAGAGCGCTTGGCTTGCATGCCTGAGGCCCTGGGTTCAATTCCTCAGCACCACATAAGCAGAAAGAAAGTTGGAAGTGGCGCTGGGGCTCAAGTGGTAGAGCGCTAGCCTTGAGCTGAAGAGCTGAGGGACAGCGCCCAGGCCCAGAGTTCAGGCCCACGACCGGACCCAAAAAAAAAAAAAGACCTCTACTTAATTTTCGTATCATTTCTAAATGACTCCATGTTCTTGACCACATATATGATATATGCATGTGCACATTTGAGGGAAGCTAGGAGGAGGGCACAGAATCAGAGGAAAATAGGGGAAAATACAAAACAGAGGGGCCCATCAGCTGTACTGCACATTGATGAAAACAACTAAGTAACTCAAGGGCAGTGATGGGAGGGAGGGAATGAGAAGGAAAGAGGGAACAGCTAACACCAAGCAAAGGAAAGAAATGTACATATCACCTGATGTGGAAGAAATAGTTGTATTGTCAAAATTCATAGAATTCACAAACTTTATAGATTATGATATTGACAATTTGCCTTGTGAAAGTTAAAATGTGTGACTTTAAGTATTACTATTCCACAATACTATGAAATTTGTGAAATTTATATCATCACTCAGTCTCAATTTAAAAAAGTGGTAATTTGGAAAAAGACATGCCTATAGAAGGAATACCATGTGAAGATAAGAGATCAAAGTGATTCACGTCACAGGCCAAAAATGTTAAAACTGCCAACAAACCACCAGAAACAAGGAGAAAGGTATATAACAAATTATTTCCTAGCTTTCAGAGGAATTAACTCTGCTATCACCTTCATCTTGGAAATCTAATATCCTGTATCTGTAGGCTAATACATTTCTAATATTTGCCTATCTAGGTTATTATATATAATTATACAGACTCTGCAAACTAATAATGGTATTTAACAATACAACAGATAAAATTTTAAAAGAACCTAGCAAATACAAATAACTCTGTACCTTGAAGATTGGTATATTATATTCAAACGTTAGATATAAAACTCAAAAAATATTTTTGCTAAATATTATCACTTATATTTAAGATAGTAGTATTTAGACAGTGACTTAATATATGGCAACACTGAAAAAAGAACACTCACATATTTTGAAGTTAAGCTTGCAGCACTTATATTAAAAAAGGTTGCATTCGATTCTGCAGCTACTGCTTTGGCCTTTTAAAAGCAAAAAAACAAACAGTTCAATATTTTCTTGAAAAGATAGTCACATTTGATCGATTTAGATATTAGAACAGATTCTCTAGAAATGTAAGATATGATACAATTCCAACGTAAGGCAATATTCCTCTTAGCTATAAAGAAAGGTTCTTAGGGATGTTTCTGTTCTCTCATTTTCTAAGAGAATATGAGGGAAGGGGAGAGACTATTCTGTGGGTATAGAAAGACAAATGACCAGAGAAAGATAAAAAAGGAAAAAGGAGTTGGTGGCTCATGCCTGTAATCCTAGCTACTCAGGAGGTTGAGATCTGAGGATCGTGGTTCAAAGTTCACGGGCAGGAAAGCCCGTGAGACTCTTTTATCTCCAATAAACCACTAGAAAACTGAAAGTGGCTCTGTGGCTCAGGCGGTAAAGTGCTTGTCTTGAGCTATACAGCACAGGGACAGCACAGCACCCAAGCCCAGAGTTCAAGCCCCAGGACGGACCAAAAAAAAAAAGGAAAAAAGAAAAAAGTTACTTTTTCCCTATTTTTTTTTCACTAAACAATGCAGAGATACAGGTTTCCAGATTCTGGTTAAAAATAAAAACAAAACCAAAGCCTGGCAACTGGTGTCTCACACCTACAACTAGCTACTCAGGATGCTAACATCTAAGAATCATGGTTCAACACCATCCCAGGCAGACAAATCTGAGAGGCTCTTATCTCCAATTAACCAGCAAAAAGCTAGAAGAGCCACTCTTGATTTTAAAAAAACAAACACCATTAACTGGGCACCAGTGGCTCAGGCCTGTAATCCTAGCTAATCAGGAGGCTGAGATCTGAGGATCAGGGTTCAAAGCCAGCAAGGGCAGGAAACTCCATGAGACTCTTATCTCCAATAAACCACTAGAAAACTGGAAGTGGTGCTGTGGTTCGCCTTGAGCTGAAGAGCACAGGGAAGTACCCAGGCCCAGAGTTCAAGCCCCATGACCGACAACAACAAAAAACAAACACCAGAGTGAGAGCATGAGCCTTAAGTTGAAGCCATAGTACTAACACACACACACACACACACACACACACACACACACACACACACGTGAGAACTTAAAGAAGAATTTCATAGCAAAAACAAATAATAAATGATACCCTCAGAGTCAAAGATTCATTTTTTTCATATTTTCACTAGTATCTCAACAGAAATCTTAGTTTTGAAGAGAACTCTTACCAGCATTGTCTTCCCATTTCCAGGTGGACCAAACAGTAATAATCCTCTTGCAGGAGCTCTAAGCCCTGTAAATAACTTTTAAAAAAATGTGTTAGTTCACAACTACAATTAAGGAGATAGTGTTTTCAACTTTTCAGGATTAGTTATTATTTAAGAACAACAATCTCTCAGTGATATCCTACCAAACAGAGAGCTTAAAGGAGAATATGGAGCCAGGTGCTCGTGGGTAATGCCTATAATCCTAGCTACTCAAGAGGCTGAGATCTGAGGACTGTGGTTCAAAGCCAGCCAGGATAGAAAAATCTATGAGACTCTTATCATCAATTAACCATCAAAAAACTAGAAGTGGAGGGCTTGGAAGGTGGCTCAGTGGTAGAGCGCTTGCCTTGCATGCCTGAGGCCCTGGGTTCGATTCCTCAGCACCACATAAGCAAAAAGAAAAAAAAGCCGGAAGTGGTGCTGTGGCTCAAGTGATAGAGCGCTAGCCTTGAGCTGAAGAGCTGAGGGACAGCGCCCAGGCCCAGAGTTCAGGCCCCATGACCGGACCCCCCCCAAAAAATAAAAAAAAAATAAAAATAAAACTAGAAGTGGAGCCATGGCTCAAGCGGTACAGTACCAGCAGCCTTGAGTAAAAAAGCTAAGGGACAGCATTCAAACTCCAAGTGTTTAAGCCTCTATAATACCAGCACAATAAGTAGATAAGTAGAAAAACAAAAAAATATGTAATCTCTAAGTTAGTATAATAATTAAAAACAAAAAAGAAATGCAATAAAACAAAATCTTGAATGGGCAAAATGAAAGGAAGACTGCTCAAGCAAGAAACTTAACACAGGTAAGTTTTTATAAAGAGGAGGGGGAATGGAAAAAGGAAGGGGAAGGAGAAAGCAGCAAGGAAAGGAGAAGGTAGTGAGGGAAGGGAAGGGGATAAAAAAGACAAAAGGAAAAGATAAAAGCCAGCACTGGTGGCTCACGCCTGTAATCCTAGCTACTCAGGAGGCTGAGGATTTTGGTTCAAAGCCAGCCTCCGCAGGAAAGTCCCTGAGACTCTTATCTGAGCTCAAGAGCCCGGGCCCAGAATTCAAGCCCCCATGAACAACCAAAAAAAAAGGAAAAGATAAAAGGAGGTAACAGAGGATAAAATAAAGTACTAGATTAGCCAGGTGCTGGTGGTTCATGCTTGTAATTCTGGCTGCTCAGGAGCCAGAGATCTGAGGATTGTGGAAAGGTCTCTGATGCTTATCTCCAATTAACTGCCAAAAAGCCAGAAGTAAAGAGGTGGCTCAAGTGGAGGGCTAACCTTGAGCAAAAAAGCTCAGGGATAATGTCTAGGTTTGGGTTCAAGCCCCAGGAATGGCACCCACTGTCACGCACACACAGAACCGGGTTGGAGATGTGGCTCAAGTGGTAGACAACTAGCTAAAAAGGTAAGTCTTGCAAGCCAAAGAATCTTAGATAAAACATAGAAATTTAGAGGAAAAACTTTTATCTTAATTTTTCCTGTAACATTTGTCTCTAAATTTCAATTTTGTATCTTTCCCACCTTAATATAACAAACTCTTATACTTTCAGTTAAGTATGGATTAGGAATCAGGAAGTCATATTCATTCTCTCATATAATAAATTGTTAACACTGATAACTAGTGTTTGTCTTTTTTTGAGAAAGAACTTTCATATAGCTTAAGCTAGCCTGGAATTTACTGTGTAGCCCAAAGTGGCTTCTACTTCAAGAACCTCCTGTTTTGGGGCCTTTTAGGCCTATAATGTCATGCCTGACTTTAATGTCTTTTTTTTTTTGGTCAGTCATGAGTCTTGAACACTGGGCCTGGGAGCTGCTCAAAGGGAACACTCTACTACTTGGGCCACAGCGCCACTACCAGTTACTGGTGTTTTATTGGAGGTAAGAGTCTTATGGAATTTCCTGACTGGGCTTGCTTTGAACAGCGATCCTCAGATCTCAGCGTCCTGAAGCCAGGATTACAGGTATGAGCCACAAGCACCCAGCTTTAATGTCTTTTTAAAATACTAATTTGATATTTTCACAATAAAAAATATTTAAAAAATAAAATAAAAATAAAAATAAATAAAATTTTAAAAAAATACTAATTTGACCTTAGTTGTTTTTTTTTTTTCTTTTTTTGCTGGTCATGGGGCTTCAAACTCAAGGCCTAGGCACTGTCTCTGAGCCTCCTTGTGCTCAAGGTTAGCACTCTACTGCTTGAGCCACAATATCACTTTGGTTTTTTTCTGATTGGTTTACTGGAAATAAGAGTCTAATGAACTTTTCTGCCCAGGTTGGGTTTGAACCATGATCCTCAGATCTCAGCCTCTTGAGCAGCTAGGATTACAGGTATGAGCTACCAGCACCCAGCTAAGTTTATCTTATACTAATTATTCAAACATTTCTTTACTACTACAATGAATTCAGTAATGAGCAGCATTTTAGAAAAATAAGTAAAGTCTTTACCTCAGGTCTTAGAGAAGGAAGAATAACAATTTCTTGTAATGCCTGTTTTGCCAATTCTTGACCAGCTATGTCATCAAATTTAACAGCTGTTCCACTATGAAACAGAATCTCAGTTGAATTCACAATAGAAATATGGTTGAGTTATTAACAATGATATTTAAGCCTTGTGAAATATAGCCATTTTGATGTTAACTGTGAAATTAGTTATATTAGCAAAATTTTCTGTATTTATAAAAACTATCCAACTTTATGTACACATGGTATTTATTATGCACATTCCACTTATATATTTTGTAAGCAAAATTTGGCAATAAAAACTATTAGATACTTTAAAAGGCAAAACTTACTTGTCTACAATATCATTCATTATAAGGTTAGCAAGGTTGCTGTCCACATTCCTAAAGTTTTTTAAGTCTTTCTTTTTTCGAGCAGCAGTTGTAGGAGTGGAGGGCTTATTTGTTTTATTTGCTTTTGGAATACCCTTAAAAGATATAAAATTTGAATGTTAAATAAGAGAAAATAAGGAAAAATTTTAAAGTTACAAAAAAATTTATCCCAATGTAAAGGTATATTCACTATACTACGTGTGACATGAAGTGAGTTTACAGAGGTTTGATCTGTTACTGTAAAACAAAACGGCCCTATGACCTTACATATAATGTTAGGGGATTTTCTGCCATTTCTAGGCCTTGAACTCAGGGCCTAGACACTGTCCCTAAGCTTTTTTGCTCAAGGCTTGAGCTCTATCACTTGAACCACAACTCCAATTCCAACATATTGGTGGTTAACTAGGGGTAAGAATCTCATGGACATTTTTTGTTGTTTTTGTTGGTTCTGGGGTCTGAACTCTGGGCCTGGGTGCTGTCCCTCAGCTCTTCAGCTCAAGGCTAGTGCTCTACTACTTGAGCCACAGTGTCACTTCCAGCTTTTTCTGCTTATGTGATGCTGAGGAATTGAACCCAGGGCCTCATGCATGCAAGGTAGGCACTCTACCACTGAGCCACCTTCCCAGCTTCTCATGGACTTTTCTGCCTGGGTTCCTCAGATCTTAGCCACTTGAGTAGCTAAGATTAAAAGGGTAAGGCACCCAGTTCACACATGTAAATTTGATTTTTCTTGGAACTGTGACAAAACTCTAGGTATGCTAATGTTATAAAATTTAAATAAGCCAAAACAATTTAAATTATACTTAATAGCAAGTAAGCAATATAAAATTATCAATTACATCCAAAGGAATTAGGTAAAATTTGCTTTTTAAAAACAAAACAAAAAAAAAAGAACAACCGGCCTTTTTGTTGAAACTTACCAATTTTCTGAAGTATTATAAAGAACTGGTAGTTGCCAGGCACCAATGGCTTATGCCTGTAACCTACCAAATGAAGGGGCTGGGAATGTGGCTTAGTAGTAGAGTGCTTGCCTAGCATGCATGAAGCTCTGGGTTCAGTCCCTCAGTACCACATAAACAGAAAAAGCCAGAAGTGATGCTATGGCTCAAGTGGTAGAGCACTAGCCTTGAGCAAAAGAAGCTCAAGGACAGTTCCCAGACCCTGAGTTCAAGCCCCAGGACTAGAAAATAATAATAACCACCTACCTAATGAAGAGGCTGGGATCTAAGAATTTTGGTTTAATGCTAGCCTAGGCAGGAAAGCCAGTGAGAGTCTTATCTCCAATTAAATACAAAAAAAAGCAGGAAGTAGAGCTGTGACTCACTCAAGTAGTAAATAGAGTACTAGCTTTGAACAAAAATGCTCAGCGACAGTACCCAGGCCCTGAATTCAAGCCTGGAACTGGTGTATGGACTGGTGTACGCATACACATGTGGGTAGTACACATGTACGTGCCTGTGCGCTCACGTGTACACACACACACACACACACACACACACACACACACACACAGAACTGGTAGTTAAGCAAGCATAAATATAAATGTTTCATTTGCAAAGGCACAGAAATTACAGTCTGTGTCCCAGAATACCTTATGAGTGGCAGCTGCAGGACCAGGTCCCTGTCTTACTCCAGAAACAGTGGATAAACCACTACAACTAGGTGCTCTCTGATGACCCGAAAGACCTGTAGATCCACTTTTCATGGCTGTTTTTGATCGAGGCAGTGAATTACTAGTGTGTGTTAAGGGATCTTTCCTTTTTGGAACAGCTCCACTTTCTACAAAGGAAAAGGTAAATTCAACATACATGTAAAACTGGGGCCATCAAGTTTGAAAAGCACTAATAAACAAAAGCAAATTTGCAAAACCAAGCTAATAATCTTTAAAAATTCAGAAATACTTCAAACTAAGATTTCAACTAGAATATATACCAGGCTGTCTTAGAACCTCTCCAAGGGTGATCAAGATTATGGTTACTAGGTTTTCCTCTTCCTGATACTTATATTTTAATTTTCTTATATGAACAAAAGTACTTGTAAGGGGCTGCGAAGGTAGCTCAGTGGTAGAGTTGCTTGCCTTGCATGCATTAGGTCCTGGGTTCGATTCCTCAGCACCACATAAGCAAGAAAAAGCTGGAAGTGGAACTGTGGTTCAAGATGTAGAGTGCTAGCCTTGAGCTGAAGAGCTGAGGGACAGTGCCCAGACCCAGAGTTCAGGCCCAAGGACTGACAATAAATAAATGAATGAATGAATAAATAAATGTACTTGTAAGGATGGGTGCCAGTGGATCACAGCTATAATCCTGGCTACTTAAAAGGTTGAGATCTGAGGATCGTGGTTCAAAGCCAGCTTAGGCAGGAAAGTCTGAGAGACTTATCCCCAAGAAATAACCAACAAAAGCTGCAAGTAGAGTTGTGGTTCAAGTGGCAGAGCCCTAGCTTTGAGTAAAAAAGCTAGACAGTGCCCAGGTCTTGAGTTCAACAACTTTTGCATACAGGAAAAATTTATCATGATACTATATAGTTCCAAAGTTTTAAAAATATGAAAGAGAAGGAAAACACACAGTTTGTGTTTACTAAAAGGTTTCAATTTTTCATATTAAAAAAATTACAAGCATGAGCCACTGGGGCCTGGCCAAAAGAGGTTTTGAACTATAGGCCTGGGCAGTGTCCCTGAGCTCTTCAATTCAAGGCGAGTGTCCTACCACTTGAGCCACAGTACCACTTTGGTTTTCTGGTGGTTAATTCGAGATTAGAGTCTCATGGACTCTGCTGCCCAGGCTGGCTTTGAACTGTGACCCTCAGATCTAAGCCTATTGAGTAGCTAGGATTCAAGGCATGAGCCACCGGCACCCAGCTTTACACACACACTTTATAAGTTAGTTTGTTCATTTTAAAACCTCTTTTGGAGCAGGGCACAGGTGGCTCATGCCTGTAATCCTAGCTACTCAGGGGGTGCTGAGATTTGAGGACTGTGGTCTGAAACCTGCCAGTGCAGGTAAATCTGTGAGACTCTTATTGCCAATTAACTACCAAAAATCTGTAAGTGGAGTTATGGCTCAATTGCTAGAGTCTGAGCACAAAAGCTGACAGACAACCAGGGCCTAAGTTCTGAGTTCAAGCCCCCAAACCAGCATACACATACAAAACAAAAAAAACCCTGTATTGAACATAAACTTTGTTAATGCATAGAATATTGCAAGGGAAAGCACACTACATCAAATCTTGGACTACAGATGTGGCTAAAGTAGTATAGTGCTGGCCTAAGCAAGTACAAAGCCCTGTGTTCAAACTGTAATACAGGGAAAGTGGTAAGAATGAGGTGGGAGAATTCAACCTCAAGATTCCTGGGGTGAAAAAGGAAGGATGAGCCGGGTGCCAGTTGTTCATGTCTGTAATCCTAGCTATCAGAAGCCTGAGATCTGAGGGATGCAGTTCAAAGCTAGCCTGGGTAGGAAAGTATATGAGATTCTTATCTCCAATTAACCACCAGAAAACTATTGCTGTGGTTCAAGTGGTAGAATCCCTGCCTTGAGCTGAAGAGCTGAGGGACAGCGCTCGAGACCAGAGTTCAAGCCCCATGACAGACCAAAAAAAAAAGGAAGGAGGATTTATAGAAGATAATAAGTAGAAGCTTAGGTAAAGAAAGAATAGCAGATATCTGCTGAAGTATATATATATATATATATTTTTTTTTTTTTTTTTT